GAGATCACTGTCAACAAGTATGTATAATTAGCAGTTAGATATTTGTCATAAATCATTTTGACACCATTTGTTGATTCAATATCATGGAGAATTTGCAGCTTCTGAAGTTGTTTGGATTTACGCTAACCGCTTTCCAAATAGAATTTGCATAATTGAAGTGACGGAAATCCCCATGCTATTATTCAGACAAAACATCAACAAAAGCTTATCATTAATGTATGGATGAGAATAATTGGAATCTCCTTAGTGGGACTACATATCATTGATGGCACTTTAACTTTAACTTTACTTAACAGTTCTCTTTTATTTTTAATTCTGTAGAAACCAAATTTTGAATGTTAAGTATCACATTTTTGATACAATAAATGTATGTTGTTAATAAAATTCGATTTTCTCAAAAACGGTTCAAGATATCGACTGATATATGGTATACCATTTTTTAGCATAGTGAGAGAGAAATCGACCTATGAAAGAGAAATGTCAAATTTGACAACGCTGTAAAAGGTGTATAAATTTAAATGAATCATTTCGTCTGCTCCTGTATAATCCAGGCATATTGAATGTCAGTTTAAACTTGGAAATGAACATTACCATGAGTTACCCCGTCATTATTGACATGACCTTTCCGGACACCCTGTATATGGCACTGTTCAAGCAAAACGTTCTAGAAAATTGTAACTTGCACTGAATTTGTGCGATTGTTTCCAAAACAGTTTAAGTTTATAATTAACTTTCACGGAAGATATTTCACGATCACTAACATAAGTCATCTGACAGCCCAGTACGAAACTTTGACATTGTTCCAATTTAATTAATTCAGGTGGAAGCAAGATTTAGTTTCTATACTAGTTCAAATACTTAGGTCAAAAAATTAAGTGTAAAATTAAGATGAGCTTCATTTTGTTTAATTATATTATTATTCTTGACAAACGTATACGTATATTTATATCCAAAATATATTTTATACATTTATACGTTTTCTATTTATACACTATTTTTATTCAATTTTCCGACTTATATATTTAGACAAAATTAATTTTATTGGAAAAATAAGTAGGTATTTGAATATTTTGAGTTTTGCTGTACTACAAACTATAAAATACATCTACTAGATATTATTTGAAAATAGTATCTTTTCCATTAAATCTAACTTGACATATGTGGTTGACGTGAAGATAAAATAAATGTTTTGAGATGTTACAAATTTGACTATTCATTAAAATCTCATTTAACTGGAACGAATTTGATGTTAGAAATGAGAGATTAGAAAGTGCGACCATAATCCAGAGAAAGTCGAGAGTAAATCACCCGAATTAGGAAGGTCACGGACAGAATACTGTATAGGCTGAACGAAGTAATTTATTGGATCTAAAAGAGTTCACGTTTAGAAACTTTGATCTCTTTAGTTTCGGTAACTTACTCTTGATCTATGCATACAATTTTTTGTGGTGGGAATTGAATTTCTGATACCAGCTTATAAAACAGACCATTAAAATAAGGACACTAAAAACAATTTCAATCAGATTGTATAATATAAAAAATTAATTGATCTCTATTTCTTAGCATAATATTATAATTGGTTTCTTTACTAATTAGATTTATAAACTATAATACATTTTCTAAGTCTAAGTAATAACTTCAAGATCATTTTGGACTTAAAAGCCTTAATGAACCAAAAGTTTGAAATAATTAATTTTCACCTCATAGAATGTTCAAATATTAAAAAATATTATTTTTAGTGAAATACATCTGAAAAGTTCTGAAAAAGAGTGAAGGATCAAAGCTCCAAAAATACAAAACAATTAAATGATGATGAAATTTGATTGTTTTAGGCTTCTGATGATTGCTCTATACAGGGTGGTCCTTAAGTAATCGTACTTAGAAGTATGATAGATTTGTGACTTTAAAATATTACGATTTGAGCCAACTTGCCTTAATAAATGATAATAAGAAAGATACAAGGTGTTAAAAGTTAAATTTCAAAATTTATTTTCCGCAATAACTTTATACAAAAAAATTTTTAACTGGGGGTTTTTTGGTATGAGAAATCATAATCTAGTACCTATCTAATTTAATGTATCTTTTAGAGGGCGCTACATAAGCCACATGTGTGGCATAAATGTACGCTAAACTTTTTTACCCATCAAGGTAGCGCCCTTTTGGGAACAAAATATTAAAGGCACGGTATTGTAAGAACAAAAATGTAAACTTGTTAAAAACCTATAAACTTAACGGTTTTCAAGATAATCGAATTTTAAAAATCGGCTATATAATTCTTTAATTCATTACGAGAAATAGTAACGTAGTAGACGAAAATCACGAATGATTTTAACAGCTAAATATTCTTGTTTTCATAATCTATGACGTTTGAAAAAGTTTTAATTGAATATTTCAGATAATTAAGGAATAGCAGAAAATGCCAAGACAATAATTTTTCTAATACAGAAATGAGAGATATGGTTATCTACTATTTACTGCCAGCAATATTTCAACGGACGTGCTGCGAAATGGGAATTCAGAAGATATCGAAACAGGCTGGAACCTAATCACCAAATATTTGAAAATCTATTTAAGAATTTAGGCGAAAGTGGTTCATTTCGTCCTAAACGTGATAATTTAGGCAGACCGAGAATCATTACGCCTGATCAAGATGAAATTGGTCACGTTGCAGATGATCTTCAAGTTAGTACAAGAAGGTTATCTTCAGCTTTAGGAATCAGTAAAACTTCAGTTTTAAAAATAATAAACCACGATAAATATCATCCCTACCATTTTACGCCTGTGTAAAATTTATTGCCAGCAGATCTACCATTAGATACCAATTTGCAAATGATATCCGAAATAGGCAAAATCTTGACCCCACCAACCTTTATTAATAGAATATTATTTACGGACGAGGCAACATTTAGCCGCCGTGGTATTTTTAATTTAAGAAATAATAATATCTGGGAAATAGAAAATCCTCATTTTAAAAGAGAAAGACATTTTCAACACGAATTCAAAATAAATGTATGTTTTGGGATCATTGGTGACCATTTTTTAGGGCCATACGATTTCCCGCATACTTTGATTGGTGAGAACTACTTACATTTTTTACAAAATGACTTCATTGATCTTTTGGAAGAATTGCCACTAAGTTTCAGGCAAAATATGTGGATTATACAAGATGGTGCACCTCCTCATTATACGAGAGGAGTCAGAACATATTTAAATACCAACTTTTCTGAACGCTGAATTGATCCTGGCAGTCATTTCCCTTGGCTTGGCCAGCACGTAGCCCAGATTTTAATCCTCTCGATTTTGGCGTATCGGGTGCAATGGAACAACTTGTTTATAAAAGTCACATAAATACTCGCAACCAACATTGGGAAGAAATAAATGCAACTGCAGTTTCTTTTGGACCAATCATGTTATTTAATATGAGGCCATCTTTTATGGAACGACATAATTAAACTTGTAATGTTAGTTAGCTTAGTTTTTTCTTTTCTTAATATGTGTAAAATTAGCGCTACCTTGATGGGCAAACAAGTTTAGCGTATATTTATGCCACACTTGTGGCTTATGTGGCGCCCTCTAAACGATAGATTAAATTAGATACCAAATTATGATTTCTCATACCAAAAAACCCCCAATTAAAAATTTTTTGTATAAAAATGTACAAAAACGTTCAAGTTATTGCGAAAAATAAATTTTGAAATTCCACTTTTAACACCCTGTATCTTTCTTATTATCAATATTTTGTTAAGGCAAGTTGGCTCAAATCGTAACATTTTAAAGTCACAAATCTACCATACTTCTATGTACAATTACTTAAGGACCACCCTGTATATGAAATTGTATTTCAAATAAAAAATTCCGCACTTTTTTTAATGAAAGAAATAATTTTAGACTTATTTCTTCTTCCACTTCTTGTGGTTAAATTCTTCCCATAGCACCGCTGCCTTACCTATTATGCGTTCCACTACTCAAACCCATTTGGTAATTAGCTTTGTCCATTGACAAATTCCAAAAGCTTACTTACCGGCACTTTTCTCAGCTCTTTGAATTCCAAAAAAAGGTTTTCTCAGGAGAGTCATTCTTAGGGCGAGTGCCCTGGATTTGCCCGTACACATTTCAATTTGTACCTACACATTTCGAAGTGTAGGGAAGTTTGATCCGCCGAGTCATAAGTAAAACGGGATAATATTCGCGTCGCTATAGCATTAAATGGACTAAAAACATCGATGAATTGACGTCAGATATTTTATTGTTGAAATGTGCAGAGCTATACTCTATTTTTAAACTAAGAGGAGTGAATGCCAAAGACAAATTTACACTGCAAAAGTTACTAAAAACTACCCCAGATAGCATCAGCACAGAAGATCAAACTGGATAAAACTTCTGTGGCATCAGACTATCAAGTATATACTCACTGCAAGTGTTTAACCTCATTTTGAGTACAATAAGCTTTCATTACTTTTAAATGAGATTATTAAGTACCTATTCAAAATAATGTGCAATGAATAAATATCTAATTCTAGGTTTATTTAACTTTTATATATTTTTTTTTAAAATAGGAGATACTTCATACATAACATTGAAAAACTGAATATGAATGAAATAATATACTACGAACCAAACATATATAAATGATTCCAGTTTTCACTTTTTAAAAACAATTTTATTGATTCACATTTTTACATCTAGCATTGGAGTAATTATATAATGGTGTTTTTGTTACTTTGAATGGTTGCATTTCTACGAACTACGTTTATTAAGTTACCGGATAATTGCCAAATAACTGATAACTGAACTACGTTCGTAATATATCATCTGCAGCTGTTCAAAGTAACAAAATAAGTTTTTATAATTTATAATATTATTGGTAAAAATTAGGGACAAATCATGTCTTTAACAATTTTCTGAATTATTCGACGAGTCAGTATCCATATCGCTCTCGCTATTATTAATTGATATAATTAAAGGTTCAATGAGATCGTCCATAATTCCGTCAAGTGTTCCCATTTTTTCTTCCTCCTTAATCACATGTTCTACACATTTTTTCCAGTTCATATTTGTAACATTATTAAGAGCCTCTATTAGTAGTTCCCTTACGTCCTTCAATTTATATGTTTTATTTTTGCTTGCCACTTCATTCTTCACCTGTGCCCAAATCAATTCTATAGGGTTTAATTCACAATGATATGGCGGTAATCGTAACACAACTTTATTTTCTTTTTTTGCCATTTCGTCAGTTATATACAAATTATATTTATCTTTATTTTGGCGAATTAAATATAATAATTGCGATCTCACCATACCTTCTTCAAATTCGATATTTTTTTATTGCAGCCATGCCTTCATATCAATTTTTCTTGTTGATGTTGTCGGAATAGCTTCTACTTTTCGACTATGGTATGATGCATTGTCCATTACAATAACAGAATTATCTGGTATTTTTTTCAAAAATTCAGAAAACCACTTTTCAAATACATTTGCATTCATTTCCTCGTGATAATCCCCACTCTTTTTGCCTTCGAAAACCAATAACGAGTCTTCAACGAATCCTTCCTCTGAGCCAGCGTGTAAGATAATAAGACGCTTTCCTTTACCGGACGGATTTTTTAATCCCGTAGACAGCCCTTCATTGAACGCCTCACGTTTGCTTTTAATATTAGTATCAACCCATACCCTTTCTTTTGTATGACCTTCATTTAACCATGTTTCATCTAAATAATAAATAGGTCTACCTTCAGATCTAAACTTTTTAATTGATATCAAGTAGTCAAGTCTCCATCTCACTATATCATCACGTTCTATCAACACACTTTTACGACTTCGTTTTAAGTATCTGCAAAAAAAATAAAATGTTTTTATTGCAATTATACTTGCTCCGAGATATGTCTTCAACCTTACTTGAAATTAATTTGTTTCATAAATTTGTATAATGATGAACGGGACATCTGTGGCAAATCCTGACGACTTTTTATTTCGGTTAATATTTTGTCCAAAGTGGGGATCTCATTTTTAAAGAAAAAGCTGTGTACTATACGCCTTATGGAATTCTTCATTGCTTCATCCAAACATGTAACAATCCCAGGTCTTCCACCACAGTGTTTGGAAGTAGACACCCTTCCAGTAGATTTATACTGTTTTATGGCTCGATATACTGTTGATTTTGCAACACCTAAAAAAGTATAATGTGTAATATAGTTAGTTCAGCAGAAGATAATGTTAATATAAATTTACCTAATGTCATCGCTATTTTGGATACAAGTTGGACAGTTTTAAGAGTAGGTTCATCATCTAGGCTTTTCTTGTACAAATTCAATATTGCTTGCTTTTCTGCCAGAGACAAATGCCCCAAACTGAGTTGTTTTCGTTTCCTTGGGGGCGACGGCGATGTAATTCCCGCGCCTGCCTTACTCGTGGTCGGCACAGCATCATCCATATCCAATGGAAAATTGGAAAAAACGGATGATAAACAATATAATAAGTTGTTTAGTTCTGATAAGAACTGATTTATACGTAACTGGGATAATAAATAGAAAGAAAAGCAGGTAAAAACACAATGACAACGAACTGATGATAACTAAGAGGCAAAATGACAACAAATGTCAAAATGTAAAATTTATTAGCAGTGTAAAGGGAGCTCGAAATTAACCAATAAGAAACCACCATTTTGGCGCGCAATATTCAAAACGCTCCTCTTAGTTTAAAAATAGAGTATAGGCAGTAGAAGAGGTGTCTCATCTCGTGAGTCAATTTTTTTCATTAGCAACATTGTTTTTTTTAACAATTTGGGTCGAAAATCAGTTTTTCCAATATATTCTCATTCGTTCAACAGTCGAAATATGATAGATTAAACTCGGATAAATTATTTAAAAGTTATTGCAAAAGAACATAAAAAATCGTGAAAAACAATATTTTTTTAAATTATCCATAACTTGGTTGTTATTTGTTGTTGTTATTCAAAACTGTGCAAAATATGGGTGCTGTTGGCCCAATAGTTTTTGAAAAATTCTGTTAATTTATCCGGTCAAGGGCAAAGATGCATAGCTTTAACCATCCGTCTCCCCGAAAGTTATTAACAAAAAAGGGTTTAGAAAGTCGATTTTGTATTTAAATGAAAATTTGATTTATTGCTAGGGGTCATTTTGACTTAATTTTCCTTTTGATAAAAAAATGTAAAAACTATATATTTATTCTAAATATATAAAAATAAAAAAATGACTATCTTTGGATTACTTAGGTATATCCCAGAAAAAAAGTCAAATCCAATATGTGTCGCTAATCTTAATTATAACATAAAAACTGTATTTGACCGGTATTACCATTGTACTGGTAAACAAGAATGTGTACAACAGTCGCAAACATAAGCTATTGGCGAATCCCTTCCTGAATATTGTGAGTGTACCCTTAGCACACATATTCTACATCTGTACCACAGTTCATTATCTGCGTCGTATTCATTACAGATGATAAATAAGTTCAAATCAACATCATTATTTTCAGTGTCACTGTAGATCATTCATTTCGACATGATGTATACTATAATACCTTTCTGGTTAATTTTGTTTTCCCCTGAAGCACATTTTGACTAGTGTTCTTTGGCATCTTATTTTCTTTTTCTGTTTCATTTTCAGATGAGTTCAGTACTTTCCTTTTGACTTCAATACCGCCTCTTAATTTATTTTGCCCGTCCTTATATTTTTACATTTTGCAGTGTTGCTTGATTTTTCTTTTCCTTTTCTTCTAGTAGCAGTTTAGTCGATGTTAAAATTGTGGAATGTTGTTTGCGACTTCCTTTCGGCTTTTTTGTTTTATTAGCTTATTTGGGTTTCGGATATAATTCCTGAACACTTCCGTTAAGGGAACCAATTGGTTGTTTAAAGGTCTATGGATTTACAACCACCTCATCATTAGAAAGTTGAATGTCATCAGCCAAAGAAAAGAAAGGAGTTTGTTCCGAAGTAGACGGAATCGCTGCTTCTTCCTGATGATATGTATCCACTTGATTTTCAGAAGTGGAAAGGCTTATTTCATAGTTATCGGTTTCATCATTAATTGTTCTAACAGAATCAATGATATGATGAAATCAAATGTTAATAATATGTCATTTATTTATTTTATACGTGTGGCGTTAATAACTTATCAAAATTATAACTTTTCTGTAATTAGAAACCTGTTAAAGTAAATGAAATTATTATTGTAGGTACATATATATGCACATATAAAAACTTCATCCTATGCTTTGAGGGGTTTTGTCATAATAATATTAAAAAAATATATTATTATTTTTGGTGATAAACCACTACTCTAATTGTTTAATTACAACGGTCTATTCTGCATACTTGTTTGTAATCCTAACCCATGCATCACCACAAAGGACGTGCTCAGCAGTAGTTCTCCAGGGATTTAACGTGACAAATTAATTACACATATACAGACTCCAGCAGACTACCATAATCCTTTGAGTATGTTTTTTTCCATCAAAGAGTAACATTTTCTCGGAAGTTCAAGATAAACCGTTCTTTAAATTGATATTAGCAAACAAAATACATAATTTAAAGAAAATGCAATAATAAAGGAACACAATGATTCAATTGTAAACTAAATATTTTTTAGATATTAAAATTAAAATTAAACTACCAATGACAATATAATCAAACGAATAAAGGAAAAAGGATAGCATTAATATTTTCCACTCATAATAAGAATACGAAAGTAAGAATGAAGTCCATACAATCAAGAGCTGCTTATTTCCGTGACAATAACATAGAGGAGTAAACAATGGGCCTACGTACCTAATGTTCAAATTCAATTTCCAGTCCTTCCATATAAACGATACGGTAAAAGCATTACCCAACGGAAGAAGTAGGAGAGGAATATAGTAAATTCAATTTCAAAAGATGCTTGGGTGTCTTTTACTTCCTCTATACCTTTTAGATTTGTTTCGTTAAGTTAAATAAAAAAAACGACGAAGTTTACTAACTTATTAGAAAAATCATCTGGTTTTAATAGGAAATGTCACTATTTTTTTTATTAATTATTAAATAACAAAAAAAAAATTGTGTTTGAATTTGTTGCTGTTGATTTGAAGCATCTTTTATACAGGGTGGCCAAACGAAAACGAAACAGAGCCATTTTCAGAAACTGCGTCAAGATTGTAGAAAAACGCTCAGACCCGTCGATTTTAGATTAAAGGGGAACATTCTTTGCTGGCATTTTTGACTCCGTCACTTTCACCCACAAGCAAGGGTAAGCATCACCCCAAAATATTTAAATGGCATTGGGGGTTGAGTAATATTTCTTTTGAAAGCTCTTACAATTACCTTTACAACACACTTTAAATTTTATAATTTCGCCCAATACTTATTAAGAATTTTGATTTTAAGTTGAAACTTATGTACAAACAATTAGTAATGGTAAAAATGTCATTCGAGTTAAGTACGCCAATGGTATAAATTTAGTATTTCTTGCCTTACATTGGTTTTTGGCGATTTGTTATCACTTTCGTAAAAAAACACAATTGTAAAAAACAGAAATGAATGCTATACACACACAATGAACGTAAAATTGGTGGATTCCAAATTATTTTCTAGTATTATTTGGAAGCGTTGGTTGGTAGTTTATTCCATTGCGGAAAGGGTAGATATCATTTCGCTTTACTTTATGAACAATAATTGTGCGGATAGAACAGTTCAGCTATTTAATGAACAACATCAAGATCGATATGTTAGGAGGAAGTATGTCCTAGAATTAGTAAAAAAAATTAAAGAGGCGGGGAACCTAGCCAATAAAAAACGAGAAATTGAAAAACCTATAGTTAATGAAGCTAGAAGTTGCAGTTTTGGGACAAGTTCATCTTGATCCTACATTAAGTACGAAGCAGCTGGCATCTGTGTCTGGGATCAATCGAACTAGCATACAAACCATTTTGAAGAAGAATAAATTCCATCCATACAAAATACATTTAGTCCAGGAACTTCATGAGGATGATTATGACCGCACTTAAGAGTTTTTCACGAGGTGCATACACAGCAATCGGAAAAATTAAATGTATGGGCTGGAATTTTCGGTGACCGGCTGTGAGTCCTTTTTTTCTACCTGGTAATTTGACTGGTAAAATATATTTGCAATTACTGGAAGACGCTATTGACCCTGCCTTGACTGATATTAATGTTCCAGAGCATGATGATCATTTGAATTTTCAACAGGACGGTGCTCCTCCGCATTATCTGTTAATTGTCCGTCAGTATTTGGACCAACGTTTTCTACCGAATTGGACTGGGAGAAGAGGCAGCATTAAGTGGCCTCCACGATCACCGGATTTATGGCCCTTGATTTCTTTTTGTGGGGATATCTAAAGAGTAAAATTTATAAAACACAGCCAGCGTCGCTGGAAGATTTGCATCAAAGAATCGTCGACGAATGCCGTCGAATCACTCCGGAAATGCTTCAGAATGTGCGCGAACGTTTTGAACAAAATCTTTAATCTTGTATGGAAGCGGGCGGTCATCAGTTTGAACATTTAATCAACTAGGTAGTAAGTAAGCAACTAAACATAATTTAACTTTTAAAATGTACATTTTTTCCAAGTATTGAGCGGAATTATAAAATTCAAAGTCTGTTGTACGGAGAATTGTAAGAGCTTTCAAAAGAAATATTACTCAACCCCCAATGCCATTTAAATATTTTGGGGTGATGCTTACCCTTGCTTGCAAAGAGTGTCCCCCTTTAATCTAAAATTGACGGGTCTCAGCGTTTTTCTACAATCTTGACGCAGTTCCTGAAAATGGCTGTTTCGTTTTCATTGGCGACCATGTATAACCTACTTAGATTCAGGAAAGAGCCATGTCAGTGGTAATATTTACATGGTTTGATTAAATGACGTACACATAAAAAATTTATATACTTCAATACATATAGGTTAATGTCTGTATAATTTAATATTAAATTAAAATCTAGAATACGATATAAATAAAATAATATTATACTATTACATATCCATGTATTACACATATTCAGTAATATATATTAATGATATATTAATTAAAACATGGATTTATATTATAATATTACAAACAATAATCGCCAAAAGCAGTTTCAAAATACAAAGTTAATTTATTTATAATACAATAATATTTAGACTGCTAGGACGTTATACATTTATGAAAATCATTAATATTTACAGAGAAGTAATCTGTAATGGTGAAAACAGAAATAAATAAAATGATACAGCAAACATATCGAAAATTATTTTTACCATAAAAAAAATATATGACAAAAGAGTGTTTCAATATTTTTTTTGTTCATTTTTTCAAGTCAAATCCATACTTTTAATCGGTTGTCGTTCAAAATAGGGTCGCATTGTACAGGGTGAGTCAGTTTTTTGTAGTAGGATTTTAACAGTTGATAGAGAATCATTTTTTATAAGAAAAGTTCCTATAAACGTAGGTCTTAGAACGCTTCGTTTGTGAGATATAGGGTGTTAAAAACAATTTTTTTTTTAAGAATTTTTCTTAATATCTAAAAGACCAACATATATTGAACTGAAATTTGGTATTAATAACACATTAGTTATGGTGAATAAAACAAATATATCTGTTATCCATTTCACACACCAGTGACGTGCCTGAGGTGGGTTACT